CTAGCATCCTCAAGCCTTCTACTTCTTGGAATAACACCCCCCCCCCAATATCTTTGAAAAACCTCGAAATTGACATCTTTCTTTCAACGCCTACTCACAACCGTATTTCTCAGATTTTCCTAATATTGAACGTGGGAGTGGTGTTCTGCGTACCAACTGCATGGCAACCCTTTTCCCGAAAAGGCCTGTGAAGAGATGGAAAAGAAATGATGCTGTTCGATTACTTATTTGTCCTTTGAGAACAACTTTGCGGACAGGCTCATATATAAGTTGCTGATAAAAATTTGAATTAGTACTTCCTTTCAGAAAGAGATTTACTGATACATACAGAAAGCTTTAAAATATCCTGGCCTTTGATCCAGGAGAACCTCTTCTAACATATACTAAGGAAAACATAAACAGATGATGAGTTGTCTGCAAAAAAACACATTGCATCATTATTTATAATAACAAAAACTGAGAATATGCTGAGTGATCAACAAAAGGAGAAAGGTTATAAAAACTAGGGCCAGCCCTGGCTGGTTTTGCTCAGTGGTTAGAGCACTGGCCCACAGACCAATGAGTCACAGGTTTGATTCCAGTCAAGGGCACGCACCTCTGTTACAATTTGTCCCTGACTCTGGTTGGGGTCATGCGGGAGGCAACCAGTCGATGTATCTCTCTCTCTCTCCCTCTCCCTCCCACTCTATCTGAAGATAAATGGAAAAATATCCTTGGGTGAGGGTAAAAAAAAAAAAACCCAAAAACTAAGAGTTGGAATGTCATTAAGGAACATGCCTCGGTCATGTTTCAAAGTATATGCAATGCATGGAAAATAATACAGTAGAATTTTAAGTATAGTATACTTTATCAACTGTCAATGTGTTCCTAGCTAAAGTATATATTGCATATTCATAGAAAGGAAACATAGATAGAACTCACTGTTAAATCTCTATATTGTGAAGCTATGAGTAATTTGTTAACATATATATGTTTTTAAATTTTTTCTGTACAAGCCTATATTGCTTTTAAAACTGGAAAATTAATTAATATGTTTTTAAGAAGAATGAAATAGCCCTCTCTTCCATTCAGGCTAATTCTACTCAAGACATATCTTTTTCTCCCTAGTAATTCATTCTCCCTGTGGATACTTTTACATTATGTGTATGTGCAAGGTCATAGTAAGCCGCGGCGAGGGCAATAGTCATTCAAGCCTTTCCGATAGCTACCACACACCTACAGTCTTGAACTTCAATACGCTGAGAGTACTCGACAACGTTAAAAGATCCTCCCACAGAGCAATCTTGGAAACGGCACTTGTCACAGAAGCTCTGTGGGAGCAGAATGTAGTCTTATTTGCTATCAGATCCCAGCATCTAGAACAGCACCTGATAGACACTGGATCTGGGGTGTGTATTTGCTACATAAGTTTTTTGTTAGTAGTAGTAAAATGGGATCTTAGAGGTCGTAATCTCACATGATGTTCCTGAAGGTCCTGTGATGAGGACATGCTAGGTTTCATTATCCCCAGTTTACAGGAAACAGATGCAGAATGATTGATTTGCCCAAGATCCCAGAGCTGGTAAATGGACAACATCAATTAATAGCATTACCTCCCAGCTGGTGCGGCTCAGTGGTTGAGCACCAACCCATGCACCAAGAGGTCACCGGTTTGATTCCTGGTCAGGGCACATGCCCATGTTGGGGGCTTGATCCCCAGTGGGGGGTATGCAGGAGGCTGCCACTCAATGTTTCTCTCTCTCACTCCCTTTCTCTCTGAAATCAATTAAGAAAAATATTTAATAAATAAATAAAAGCAATTCTGTGGGTGAAGACTTGGGTCTCGGGGAGATCCTGGTGGAAGTGTTCCCTCATTGCCTTACTAAACAAAAGGCCACAGAGCCCCTCATTACTTCTGTGCATCGGGATCTTACTTTGTATTCAGAATAAAATATGGTGCGGGCTCAGCGTGTACTGTCGTTGGCTCCTGTGCCGCCTTCCCCCACCTCTCCTCTTTCTGTCTTAGTCGCTGTGCGTTGTTTCTCTCTTACATCAATGTTTCTTTTTTTCTCTCTCTCTAAAAATCAATTAAAAAAGATGTCGTCAAGTGAGGATCAACAAAAAAAAAAAAAGAAGCCCTGGCCGGTTTGGCTCAGCGGTTGGAGCGTCCGCCTGCGGTCCGGAGAGACCCGGGTTCGGTTCTCGCTAAGGGCATGTACCTCGGTTGCAGTTTGTCCCCGACCCTGGTTGGTCGTGCGGGTGGCAGCCACTCGATGTGTCCCTTTCACATTGATGTTTCCCTCTCTCTCTCTTCCTCTCTCTCCCTCCCACTCTATCTGTACAAAAAATGGAAAAATGTCCTCGGGTGAGGATAAAAAAAAAAGAAAACCTGTTTCTATTAAAATAATAAATTTTTATAATATGTTTTTATTGATTTTTTTAAAATTTTATTTTATTTTATTTTTTTTTATCCTCACCCGAGGACATTTTTCGATATTTTGTTCAGATAGAGTGGGAGGGAGAGAGAGAGAGAGAGAAACATCGACGTGAAAGCGACACATCGAGTGGTTGCCACCCACACGACCCAACCAGGGCCGGGGACAAACTGCAACCAAGGTACGTGCCCTTAGCGGGAACCGAACCCGGGTCTCTCCGGACCGCAGGCCGACGCTCTAACCGCTGAGCCAAACCGGCCAGGGCTGATTTTTTTTTTTAGAGAGAGGGCGAGGGAGATAGAGAAAGAAACATCGATCGACTGCCTCTTGCACATCCCCCCCCCCACACACACTAGGGATTGAGCCTGCAACCCGGGCATGTGCCCTGACTCAGAATCCAACCAGGACCTCAGTCCATGGGGTGATGCTCAATCTACTGAGCCACATTGGCAAGTGAAATAATAACAGTTTTTACATACCTTCCATGAGAGAGAGAGATGAGTACTGTTCTTCAGCAACTCAAAAACTGTTCCCCGAAAGGATACAAGCTTGTAAACCCAGGAAGTTAAAACACACCAAGGGCACCACTGGGTGTTTCCAGTGCACTGAGGTGCTGGAGGGGATCATCCGAAGGAACAAGGACAAGTCCCTTCTCAGGTAGGTGTTCTTTCCTCTCACATTCGACAGTGGCTCTTGTCCTGTTGGCATCTATCCAGGTGGGGAAGAGAGACATGTAGCCGGGGTGTGAGCTGATGTGTAGCTTGTATGTACTTCCTTCCGCTGACTTGACTCCTTTCTGTGTGAACTAAGGTGCCCGACTGTGTCACATCAGGATGGTGATCACATTGGCTCTGAAAACCTTTGAGAGTAGCCGCCCTTGGACTCAATACAAAGCACTTGGCTTGACCCAGATAGAGTCCCGCTCCGGGCCAGTTCATGACCCTCAAGCTCATAGTAAAGATTTCTTCCACAGTAACCTTGAAAGGCTGCTAAAATGGGACATTGCTTTTACTATAGAGTTATTCAGGCTTCTACTTCAAAGACACAAAGGAAAAAAGCATTGAGAAATTTTGCATGTATATGTCATTTCATTCATTATAAATTATTTTTGTTTGAAGACCCAAAATAGTGCAAAATTCTGATCAAATGAACACTCCTTACTTTCCTTGGTATACGAGTGGATGGGCTTGTTCTATTTCCTTTCAAGTGTCCATTTCTTCATTCTGTGGTATTCTTCAAGCGGTATTTCCAGAGCCAGTATAGTGGACCCGGCACTGAAGACAGATGCCTAAGATAGATAAGGTCTCTCCCCTCATACGGCAGGGGAAATGCATATTAAATAATTCGATACAAATTAGTGATTCAGTTCTAGCTTTGGTAAGAGCTAGGAGCGTCGCGTGCGAGTATCCAGCTATAGGGGAACCTGTGTCTTCTGGGAGTGGTACCCTGCAGTGCCAATCCCCAGGGGAGGGCTCTGAGACACTGGCTTCCCCATCTCCTAATAACTTAGGGGTAGGCCAGCCTTTAATCTCCGGCCACCTGGCTCCAGCCTGAACCTCACACATGCGTCTTCACCACTACTGTGGACAAATGGGAGAAGGACCTTAGAAGCATTTAGCAATGTCCTTTCACTGGCCGGCCCTGTGGTTCTGACCAGTCCCATCTTTGGAGCCACAGTTGACATGTCCTATGCTCTTATGCTTACGAAAAGAGAGATGGCAGATGACTGAATGGAAAAGGAAGGAGTCTTTGGACTTACATTCTTATCATGTTATTTACCTGGTTTGGCCCAGGTTGGCGCATTCCATTCGCATCACCCAAGACTAGGAGTTCTTACAGGGTCAAAGCTCCATGTGGTTCCCAGACGGTCCTTCATACATGAATAGCTGGCCACATCTATGAGCAGAGGGCAAACCAGGACTGGCGGCACTCTGAAATTGCTCATTAGAACAGATGCTCATCAGCAGTATCAAGAGAAGGGAACGTGGGAAGTGGGGTAAGCAAACTCTTGCCGTGATCCAAGGAGCAGTGCCCTGGCTCCTCCTTTCAGAGATGAATGTTGTGTTTCTGTTTTTTAACTAGGACCCCCAGATAGTATTTCATATATACATATATATATATTTTTTCTTTATTGGTTTTAGAGAGAGAAGGAGGGAGAGTGATAGGGGGAGAGAGAGAGAGAGCAAAACATTGATTGGCCGCCTCCTGCATGCCCCCTGCTGGGGATTTGGCCCACAACCTGGGCATGAGCCCTGACCGGGAGTAGAACCGGTGACCTCTTGGTGCATGGGTCGACGCTCAACCACTGAGCCACACTGGCCAGGCAGTATTTCATACATCAAGTGGGGCAACCAATCAGATCACAGGCGTTTTCTAGGTGTTCACATGCTGGGAGATATTCCTCCTGCCTATTCTCATAGGCACTCTGCGGGCGAAAGCAGTGTGCACGGCCTGGGCACACGCCCACACACATGCACCGCGTCTCCCCATCGAATCACTTCGTTCCTGGCCGATTCTCAGGAAAGTGGCTTCCCCCGTAGCTTGCTCACGGGATGCTTTTCTTCCTCTTTTTATCTTTCATTGCAGCAGAATCGAAGAAGAAGAAAAAGGAAGGCAAGAAACAAGAGAAGATGCTGGACTGAAAGAGGCCACCTCCCTGGAACGTGGAACGGACGTCAGCCACCAGGAGCAGTTAACCGTCGCATTTATACCCACCGCAGGCTTTTTATTCCGAAGTTATCGATAGCTTAAGTGTACACACAATAGGCAGAAACAAAAAGAAAAGAACATGTTTGTAGTAGCATTTTTAAATGTATACCATAGTGCCACTAGGGGCTTATAATGAAGGACTGTAATCCTGTTTAGAAAGTTGACCTATAGTATGTGAAAAATGATAGAAAATGGAGGTAAGTTTTTTTTGAAGTTATGTGATATTTGCCATTTAAAATCTTTCTTTTTTTTTTACATTTTTTTTTCTTTGGCAGCGATTTTAAATGTTATGGCCAGGTAAACTACTTCTCTTGTTAGGTCATTTTTTCACCTAGACTTTTTTTTCTCAATGGAAAAAAAGTATATACTAAACAAGGCAGCAATAAAATACAATCATCCTATTTGAGGAAAATACCTTGATTTCTGCCAATGGATTTAAGAACCTTTTAGTCAGTAAAATAGGGGGAGGGGCAGAGCATGCACTTGTTGAATGTTGACTTTTTTTTTTTAAAGAAATCATTAAAACATGAAATTCTTTCACTTTGGCAGAAACATTTGTTTTCCTGATGAAACTATTTTCTCATCTGAGGGGAAAAAAAGACTAGGAAAATAAATCAAGGTGATGCTAAAAAAAAAGAAAAAAGTACTCTTGTGTGCAATACTTTGGTATTGTCCTCGTCTTCATTTGTCACCTGCACGCTCCCAGTCAACCTGTTAGCGGGGAGACGTGATCATACAAACTAATCAAATCACTTCTGGGCACAAACGTTATAGAGGGTTTATCTGGATGTACATACAGTTAATGTATACTTTGATATAGATGTCCATATGCCTGCATCTCTACATTTGGAACTTTCTATCACTATTCACTGGGTAAAACTGAAAAGTCCCAAAGTAATCTAGTAGTTAGAAAAATGCTTTTTTTTTTTTTTTTTAATCCTCACCCGAGGACATTTTTGCATTTATCTTCAGATAGAGCGGGAGGGAGAGAGGGAGAAAGAGAGAGACAGAGAAACATCGATATGAGAGAGACACATCAACTGGGTGCCACCCATATGACCCCAACCAGGGCTGGGGACTAAATGCAACCGAGGTACGTGCCCGCAGCGGGAACCGAACCCGGGACTCTCTGGTCCGTGGGCTGATGCTCTAACCGCTGAGCCAAACCGGCCAGGGCAGAAAATGCTCCTTCTATTGAGCAAATCGGGGCTCACACAGCCCAAATCAGGATCAGAGTAACACAATGCAAAATGGTACTTTGTGCTCGGTTTCCAGAAACCAAGAATTCCTACTCTAGTATCTACCATGTAAGTGCCAAAGACTCTCCATGTGACTCCTGTTATCCACTGGACTCTAAGCACGAATCTTTTTTTATTCCTCACAGGAGGACATGCTTAGAGAGAGATAACCGACATGAGAGAGAAACATCAATTGGTTGCTTTCCAACTGGGGACCCAACCTGCAACCCAGGCATGTCCCCTGACCAGGAATTGAACCTGCAACCTTTCCGTCACAGGATGATGCTCAACAAACTGAGCTACTCTGGCCGGGCTCTAAGCAACAATCTTTAGGTGAACAGGTCTCTGTTTCTATTATTCAGAGAAATAGTCTCAGAAATCAGTTGGAATTGGCTTCAAAGCATTTCTCCCGAAAGAACCCCCTCTCATTTTAAAGTGACAAGACATGATAAACATACACTTACCTGCTTAGATAACTGTAAGTCCATTTCCAAAGTGATGGTTTCAGCATGCCTTGGGCTAGCCATAGAATAATGACAAACTGGTTTGAGGATGCAGCGAAGGTATCTTCAAAGCTAGTCGAAGAGTCTGCTTGAGCAAAGAATATTGAAGGGGGTCCATATCTCCCCACTAAATCCCAGCCAGCTGCCCATGGGGAGTGGGGATGAGGTGGGCTTCTGGCCACACACACTGCCCATATGGACTGGTGCTTAATCAATCAAAGCCCGGCCTTGTCAAGTACGAATGGCAAACCTGAACGGTGATCGCAGGCCTTTCGCAAGCGGACTTTCACAGGGAAAGAAGCCCTCAGGAGGATGGATGGAAGAGAGGCATTGTCTTCAGTGGCACTTTTGACAGCTACGTCCCCTAAGGATAGGGATGATGGAAGAGTTCGCAGCGACTGTCCTTAGTCTCTCGCCTAATATTGCTTCTCCTGCAGCATTTAGCGAAAACAGCAGCCCATGAATCAGGAATGAACTAAGGTGAACTCGAACAAAATCTCCCAAAGGAAACAATCCTGTAAATAATCGTGGCACCCCTCTTTAGTCACAGGGCATGGCAGGAAGCCAGGGAGCCTTTGCTGCATCGATGATGGACCCTAACAAATCACATAGTAACAACTCCCCGAGTGTGTGTGAAAGCAAGGGGTTGGAATGCTAATCTCCATTGCACAGGGCATGACATTGGACTTCCTCCGAGTATGGAGAAGTAGTCTACCCCAGTCCTAGCTTTAGACATCTTGCTAAATCTCCCTGGCCTATGGAAACCTACATACAAAAGCACAAGCTTCAAAAGTCACGGCCTCTCACAAACAGGAACAGAAAAGGACATCATCAGGCATTTCTTAGAGTTTTCCAGAAAACACCCTCTTCCCAAATGTTCTGAGTTGTATGTAGTTCATCAAACCTCAAGGAAGGGAGGGAAATGTGAAAAGTCAGCTTGTTTTCTTCATTGGTCTTACAGTGAGGTAAGTTTCTTTCCAATAATTAGGAGGGCACAAGGCAGACTCGCCCAAATCCTAGCCAAACGATCCTCAGTGACCGGAAAGTGTCCTTGTTGAGCTCAGTGGCTTAATCTGCCACACTGTACTCTGGTAGACTTGCTGATTTATCCTGAGTGCCTGGATGCTGCCACACTCATTACACACAGTCATCAGGAAGAGGATGTGGGGAAGGACATTTCGACTTCACATAGTCCTGGAGTGACACCTTAATGTTTTGTTAATTCTGTAGGGGAGGAACTCCGAACAGAATTCACCACTCTGAATATTTATTAAGTAAAGTTCTATTAAACAGTATGGGTGAGAATTATTGAGTTTAAAAATTAAACTATTTAATTATAAAATTAAATAATGTCAGTGGCTTGTCCTGCAATGGAAGGGGTCTCATTTAAGGAAAGAAAGGCTATAATCCTTTTTCCATTGAGAATGTAGATAATTTCTTTAGGAGTAAGATATACACATTTTTCCCTTTAACACTTGGCTTCATAATTCAGAAATTGTTTTATACCTTTTAAAAGTGAAAAACAGAAGTAAATATGCTTTAAGAGGCACTGAATGAAGCAATGGAAAAATATCACTTTCACAAATTAGATTATTTTGACATAGTTCCCTAACATAATCAGAACTTGATCAACCTTTAGTTATGGGATTTCCTGATGGAGTCAAGCAAAGGGATTTCTTCCAATTAATCTTCTCCCAAAATAAGATAGACATCCTTGAAAGTGGAATATCAAAGCAGTCAGTCTTCTTTCATTTTTCCTGGCTTGCTTTTAATTTAATAAGTTTTAACCCTTACGCTTTCAAAAGTGGAGACCATCAGAAGGCGAAGGTGTAGGGGAATAATTTTCCAACGCTTCTCACCTAAACTCTAATTTTAGATTCTTCTTTGGGGTAAAACAGACTCTTCCCTGTCTACAAGGTTATTTCTAGGTTGCAAAAATTCTCTCCCCATTTTTCTCTATTACCATGGTTTTCTCCTACGTTCCCCCATCTGATAGATAGAAAGTGAGAAAATACTTTTTTCTTGCCTCTGGAAACCTTAGCAGAAGGTCTGTCAAATAGATGCCTTTTCAACCTACTTTTCAAAGAAGAACCAGAGTCTTGGAACATGTGAACACAAGGAGAAAGGAACATCATGTTATGCTGAGCAGCCTGCAAATCATGCCTACGTCAAACTTGCAGGGACTCCAATTCCCTGGAAATAAAAGGTGCGGACCATTTCGATCAGAGAAAAACATATCCATCTTAGAAATCTGCCCCATCCCCCACCCCTACTTTTTCTGTTCTTTCCAATCCTTTACTTTTCGAGCAAGGCACCAAAGCAGAGTAAAATGCTCAATCCCGTTTGGGTCTCATGTAAAATAATATACTCCAATAATATCACAAGAAAGAGGAATACAGATTTACGTGTGTTTGTTTAATTCAAAAATAAAGGTATATCACCCTGGCTGGTTTGGCTCAGCAGTTAGAGCATTGGCCTGCGGTCCACAGAGACCTGAGTTCGGTTCCCACTAAGAGCACGTACCTCAGTTGCAGTTTGTCCCCGGCTCTGGTTGGGTCGTGTGGGTGGCAGCCACTGGATGTGTCCCTTTCACGTCGATGTTTCTCTCTCTCTCTCCCCCTCCCACTCTATCTGAACAAAAAAAAAAAAAAAAAAAGAAAGAAAAGAAAAGTATACACCAATGAGCTCTCAATATCCAATTTCTGTAAAGTGATATTTAAAAAAAAAATAAGGACGAAAATCTTAACAGGCAGAACATTGCTTGATGTATTTCTGATGCATCTATTCATTACAACTACTGTTTTAAGTTACTCATGGGGTTAGCTAAGGATGTTATGTATCTAGATTATTGCCACATATTTTTTCTTGTTCTTCGAAAATGTGTGTGGAAGCCACAGACTTGACATTAAAAAACGATAGCATGAAAAATCCTGACATATCCATAAACTCCTGGGAAGGGAGGGGTGCCTTAGAGACTTAGATGTAGTAATTGTATCCATATACTCAACTTGCTCTTAGTAGAGATGCAAATGTTCCATACAATGAACTAATCACAGAGAATCATTTTTACCCTCGGTCTTTGATGACCAGATTTATCAAACCCAGGATAAAAATAAATCTTCAAGTATCATACTTGATGAGATTCTTGGAGAACTACATGAATACCTCAGTTAATATAAATGACCACAGGTTAAGTCCAAAAGTTGTGTGCTTTTGCCTGCTGGTTTGGTTCAGCAGTTAGAGCGCCGGCCCACGGACCAGAGAGTCCTGGGTTCGGATCCCACTAAGGGCATGTACCTCGGTTGCAGTTTGTCCCCAGCCCCAGGGTGGCAGCCACTCGATGTGTCTCTCTCACATCGATATTTCTCTCTCTCTCTTCCTCCCTCTCTCCCTCCACTCTATCTGAAGTTAAATGCAAAAATGTCCTTGGGTGAGGATAAAAACAACAACAAAAGTTGTGTGCTTTTAAGGTAGTTATAACTAATAATTAAATTTCTTACCAATTTGTTTAGAGATTTACCACTCTGTTGTCTTGTAGCCATGATGAAGGGAGAGATATCAGAGATTTATTCTGCAATCTGGAGAAAAAAGGTGTAGGAAGATGAGGATATTACTCTAATCAGGCATTTTTTTTTCTCAAGAAAAAAAATGTTTTTATTGATTTTAGAAGAAGGGAGAGAGGGAGAAACACTGATTGGTTGCCTCCCACACACACCTCAACCTGGGATGAAACCAGTAACCTGGGTGTGTGTCCTGACTGGGAATCAAACCGGTGACCCTTCGGTGCTTGGGATGATGCTGAACCAATGGAGCCACACCAACCAGGGCCCATACATTTTTGAAATCTCTGAA